ATAGCATACACCTCCATTTAACGGATAGCACCTAGTGTACCAATTACATTCCTTACTGTATAAAATAACCTCCACATAAAGGACACCTCTGTATAACAAAGCAATTTTCTTGTACGAAAGTGTCCATTATATAGAGGCTAGTCTGTATATATACACGTACATGTACATGAATAAAATCTTTTCCCTTTAACATATTATGTGTATGTATCACATTCACATGTGTATTGATGTATTTATACCTTTACTAGCTGATAGTAGGAGGTTATTGTCTTTTGGATGAATCTGTAACTCATTCACAGCATTACCATGACCAGTAAACGTCTAAACAACAACAAACAAATATTATAAACAAACAACAAACAAATTATACTTACAATAATGCACTGCATTGTATCTGTACTAAAAATAAAATAAAATAAAAAATATAATTTAAATATATCATAATAATGTTACCTTAATATTCTAATTATTCCTTTGACTCCACCCACTGCTAATAACACCTCTCCGCCATCGCTCAGGCTCCATGTACATGTATAGAAATTTTCTTCCGCCTAAAAATTAAGATAATAAAGTACTTGAGCATAAGTACATCAATATGTATCAGAAAATGTAATAAAAAATTGAGGTGATTTTGGAGCCATTTTTTAGAAAAAACCATGGGCTATAGCCTTGGGTAATTTTCAAAAACTTGCCAATTTCTTAAAATGGCCATAACTTGAAAAATATTTGTCAGAATCAGCTCAAACTTTCTACACAGTATAAGGACATCAATGTGTATCAGAAAATGTAATTAAAATTTGGGGTAATTTCGGAGCCATTTTTGGAAAAACCATGGGCTATAATAGCCTTGGGTATATTAAAAAATTGATTGATTTCTTAAAATGGCCATAACACAAAAATATTTGTCAAAATCAACTCAAACTTTCTACAAAGTATAAGGACATCAATGTGTATCAGAAAATGTAATAAAAATTTGGGGTAATTTCGGAGCCAAGTTTTGGAAAAACCATGGGCTATAGCCTTGGGTATATTAAAAAATTGACTGATTTCTTAAAATGGCCATAACACAAAAATATTTGTCGGAATCAACTTAAACTTTCTACACAGCATAAGGAAACCAATTTGTATCAGAAAATGTAACAAAAATTTGGGGTGATTTTGGGGCCATTTTTCAGAAAAAACCATAGGCTATAGCCTTTGGTATTTTTCAAAAATTGGCCGATTTCTTAAAATGGCCATAACTCAAAAAATATTTGTCAGAATCAACTCAAATTTTCTACACAGCATAAGGACATCAATATGTATCAGATAATGTAATAAAAATTTGGGGTGGTTTCGGAACCATTTTTAAAGAAAAAATCATGGGCTACACATTACAAAGAACATTACATTTACAGTTTTCCAGCCACTTTGTTATTGACCACACTCATTACTTACGTCAGCATCAGTATAACACTGGATAGGTACTATCTGATTATCAGGTACACACTGATAGACAGTAACCTAATGAATGAAGATAGAGTTTACTAATAAACACATAAACAATGTACATGTACATCAAAATAATTACAATACCCTTTTTCAAAATTCTAGCACAAAAGCTTATATACCAAACAAAATATAATGTAGTACATGTACATGTACTGTGCTGATAATTGATACTTTCTTCCCGAACCAATATTTCCATCGGCCCCTGGATCTAACGATCCTACATCAACTATTGGAGTGTAATTAATTAATTAATAGTGGGTGTGGTTAGCTCAATTATTCAATAACCCACCCACCCTGTTAGTTCCAACTGTAGCAAATATTCTCTTCTCAGGAAGGAAAGGATTGAACTGCACCCCAAACAAAGGCTGAGAGTGTCCTTCCTACAATGAATAAAATTAATTAAATAAAACTACGGGGCACACCTTTAAATATCCCACTAGCTTGTAATTTACCATCGTTACACGTGATTCAAGAATACCGAAATCTGTATACATCCGTATACTACAAACACGTGGATGATAAAATGGCTTCTACAATCCCTACTTCACCAATTGACGGTTATTCTGTGCTCTTCTCTCCGTTTTCTCCTAATCTGTTGGGATTTGTGGGTGGCAGTAATTATGGGATAGCAGGAAAAGGTGGTCTCATTATCATAGAACACGGACCAACCGGATATAAGGAGATTAGGAGGTAGGAGGATTGTTGTATCACGTGATAGTCACATGATTATAGGTATGGATGGAAGGACGTGCTGTACGATGTGACGTGGAGTGAGATTGATGAGTCAGTGGTCGTTGTTGCTAGTGGCGATGGAAATATTGTCATTTTTAACATCACCCAAGATGTAAGAGAGAGATAGGGATTGAGGGTATGGGTTTTGTTTTGCTTGTAAATTTTGTAAAAATAAATTTCACCTACCAGAGCCATAATGCAACTTATATTTCACTAATTAGCATAAAATTGCTAAGTTTTTTTCCACCAGCAAGCAATACCTCTACATGTATAACTAATAATTATTGATTATTATTTATTTTTTTAGGTTCCTGTGGCTGTAATGTCTGGACATTTAGGAGAGGTACATTAGAGAGACAGAGAATCATGTACAGTAATGATAATATCATAATAGATCTAGTAATGTGTTATTAGACTAAAATTTTGTTGCCACCATTGTGTACTCAATACTCATGCTCAATGATATGCGAATTTAAATTTGCCAAATTAAAGCTTGCATGTGTCACACTAAATATTACCCCACCCCAAATTACCCTCCATATGAATACAAGAGCCCTCTGGCTTTTATTACATGTACATTAAGCATGCTTATGTTAGTAGTTTAATACATTATTTTCTTTCCCTCCCTCCCTCCATCAGGTCAGTAGTGTTGAGTGGAGTCTCTCAAGGAGAGAGCAGCACCTCATCAGTTCCTCTTGGGACAAGACAATAAAACTAGTGAGATATCCTTCCTCTTCTTCCCTTTATAGTAGCCTTGGTTGGTTATTTTAATTGGATGAGTTGCTGTTGATTAAATTTAGCATTGATCTACATGTACATGTAGCTTTAAAACATTTAAAACATTATGCTTGAACAAGTTACAAAAGAAAATGTGCCTTACATTCCTCATTGTCCATATGATCCATAGGTTCCTTTAGTTACAAATTTTTGAGTTACATGTATACATGCACATGTGTGTGTATTTTTACAAGCTGCTTTCAAATTTACCCAAAATCATTTTCATTTTCTGTCATCTTATTATTTTTTTTTCACAGTGGGATCCTGCTACTGGTACTTGTCTAAATACACTGTCTGGTCATACTGGTATAGTGTACTCCACTAACTGGTCTCCTCACATACCAAACACTGTAGCATCAGTATCAGGTGATTACATGTAATGATAACTGTGTTAGTGAATGCTAGAAAATAAAATTCACCATTTTGTTGTTTGTCCATTCTCGATGACGCGTGTCGCTACAAAATTTACCAGAAACTCTCACAAACATTTTAATTTTGTTAAACCGTTAATTTGTAAGTTAAAGTAACACAAATAAGAGCTAATAATCACTTTGTGTAAATTGTAACAGACTCAATTGTATACGGGTATAGGCTATCAAGTTTTCTTGTAATTACTCCCCGTGGCAGGGTATCCTCACAGCTGATGAAATCAAGAGTATCATCATCTAATTGTTCATAAGTAGTTTCAGTGTCATCTGTTAATGGAACATCTGTTAATACTTTTACAGCTCCTTCTAGTCCTGGGGGCGACACTACAGCTTTGTATGTAAGCTTTCCAAATATGTTAGGTACTTTAGGTAAGAATTCATCAAATTCACCTTCATGAATTGCAAATAATATGAAGCATTGTTCATTTAAAATATTTGACATCATTCTAGCTGACATGTGCCAACCACATGCACCAGTATAGAAATGAACTGCTTCACTTCCTTCGGTAATATCAATGGGTAATAATGGATATGGATCATCAGCTAATGCACTGTGAATGTTGACAATTTCAGACTTTAACTTTTGATTTTCGTCTCTCATTTCTCTCTTAATCTGTTCATTTTCTTGTTTTATTTGTTCATTTTCTTTCTTCAATTGTCCACAAGCTACAGCTAATAGTGTCATGTGTTTAGTATCAGCAGTGTGTACATGTACATCTTTACGTAATGGCTTATCATTACAACCAGCCCAACTAAACACACAATCTACTGGCTCTAATGGACACTCATTGATATGAGCAGTGAGACTACCTTGTGGCATATTAGTAGACACACATTTATTGGGACAAGTAACAGGATACTGCCTGCATTCCTCATAATGATACTGTATAGAGAGGAACGTACCTTTACTCCTGCAGTATTGGCATTGAAATGGACGTTGAAAACATTCTCTATCTTCATGAAACTTAAGATATCTACGTTGCTTTCTCTCTTGACATTTCTCATATCGACACTTTACTTCTTCATATTGACATTCTCCTCTTCTCTTCTTTTTCTTGAGGTGAGTAGACATATTCTTCAATTCTCCTTTCCATTCACATCCTTTCTCCTTATTACTGCAGTAGACCTCCAATCCATTGATAATACGTGAACACTTCTTATCGACAAATGATTGATATTCCTCCTCTTGACACAAAGGACAGGATCCATTACTAGCTTTTACTCTCTCAATACAAGACCCACAGAAATTATGTCCACAGCATGTGACCTGATGAGGATCTGTCAAGATATTAAGACAAATTGGACACTTTATCTCCACATGCTTAGGAAGATCCTCAACAAAAGAAACGTCTTCTCTCTGAGCCATGTGGATTTTTTATCATACATGTGACCCAACGTCACACTGACCTCCCGTGATTTATAAAGGTCAGTTATACAGCATTTAGGTATCATACCATGTATGTGAGCCTGAGGTTCATAAGGCCGTGACCAACTTCTATTCAGACTGATGTACTAAAATAAACAGAATAGTTTACTTAGCAACAGTTTTTAAAGATATAATGGAACTATAAATAATTATTTTGAAGATAGGAGACCATTGGTTTATGCATGTAAATCTGGAAATTTAGATGTTGTACGTCATCGGTCCTGGTGCTACTTATTCAACCTCCCGGGAAACTTGTTGGTAATATATGAACCTGATATCAAGCAATTGGTCAATTGCCAACTAGGCATGGTAAAAACTAATTAATTAGTTACTGGTCTCCACAGATACTAAATTCACACTGTAGCATCTGTATCAAGTGATTACGTATGTACATTTATGTTGACGGGAAATGTGGACATTGGGTAATTCAACTTCATTACATGCATTATAGTGTGTATGTGTACATATACATGTACTTTGTATAGTTGAAGTTCATTGGCCAGTGTATATACATTAGATCATATTAATGATATTCAACTCTTGGATTCATAATATTGTAGGTGCTAGCACTTCTTATGTCATTTCAATGTTCCTTTACTTCTATTACTTGTACATGTAATGCACATGTATATTTAGAGGTGTTTATAGCCACATTTGGAGTAGCTGCTATAGTAATTTTATTGTAGGTTGATTCTTTGCCAAAGTTGTGTTTGCAAACAATAGTGCCTATACTGAAAGAGGAGAGGGAATGGCGATACTTTATAAGATATTGGTGTTGATGATGGGTTGACAGTTTTCACTAGTACTGTATAGCTAGAGTCTTTTGTGGTCAAAAATTTTCGTGAATTTTGCTATTTATTCAAAATTCATGAAAATAAAACCTGCAAAAATTGATTTAATATGGTTTAGCCAAAAGGCAGGAAGCCGTCAAATTAAAACCATGAAATAGATTCTTGGATGATTTTCTGAAATTTTTGGGCCATGAAAATTTATCACTATACGGTATAAAATCTGCCATTTTTTTATTTGTGCACATAAAATTGCAATACTGTGGAGCTAAATTTGTTTACAATTATCACTTTATATAAATTGTAGCAGAATCAAATGCAAAATTTTCATGACTTGATAGTTCCTTTTTAATGACTCCTTGTGGTACAATCATGTAACTGGTAGACCTAATGCTATTAAGAATATCATGAGGTAATTGCTGATAACTAGCTTGAGCATCTTCAATTAATGGTATATCTATGTCTACTATGTCTGTTAATGATATATTTGGGACTAGTTCTCTTGGGTAAAAGTACATGAAGTTTGGGTCTGAGGATAAGGTATTAAATTCAATTGCCCATGGTGTAGCTTTGTATGTGAACTTTCCATAAATTTTAGGCAATTTTGATTAAAATTTGTCGAATTGACCTTCATGAAATGCAAACAGTATGAAGGAATGTTCATTCCATTCATGTTCAGCATAAGTCATTATTCTAGCTGACATGTGCCGACCACATGCACCAGTATAGAAATGAACTGGTTCACTTCCTTTGGTAATATCAATTGGTAGTAATGGATTATCAGCTACACTGGAGCAAATGAGATATTTTAGTTCTGTGTTTTCTCTTTTTAACTGTTCTATTTCTTCCCTCATTTCTCTCTTTATCTGTTCATTTTCTTTCTTCAATTGTCCACAAGCTACAGCTAATAGTGTCATGTGTTTAGTATCAGCAGTGTGTACATGTACATCTTTACGTAATGGCTTATCATTACAACCAGCCCAACTAAACACACAATCTACTGGCTCCAATGGACACTCGTTGATATGAGCAGTGAGACTACCTCGTGGCATAGTATTTGATGAACATTCATTAGGGCAAGTAACAGGATACTGCCTGCATTCCTCATAATGATCCTTTGTAATAGAGAGGAATGTACCTTCTTCCCTACAGTATTGGCATTGAAATGGACGGTAAGGGCATTCTCTATCTTCATGATCTTCGAGATATCTACGTTGCTTTCTCTCTTGACATTTCTCATATCGACACTTTACTTCTTCATATTGACATTCTCCTTCTCTCTTCTCTTTATTAAGATGAGTAGACATATTCTTCAATTCTCCTTTCCATTGACATCCTTTCTCCTTATTACTGCAGTAGACCTCCAACCCATTGATAATACGTGAACACTTCTTATCGATAAATGATTGATATTCCTTCTCTTTACACATAGGACAGGATCCATTACTAGCTTTTACTCTCTCAATACAAGACCCACAGAAATTATGTCCACAGCATGTGACCTGGTGAGGATCTGTCAAGATATTAAGACAAACTGGACACTCTATCTCCACATGCTTAGGAAGATCCTCAACAAAAGAAAGCTCTTCTTTCTGAGCCATTGTTGACCAACTAGATTGCCACTAATCCTATCCCACTTCCTGTGATTTTACTATTTAATTAATCAGTTAGTCTTATCATCAAAATTTTAAACCTTTAACATTATATAATATAGTAAAACTTCAAAAGTCAACACAAGAATTAATAAACTCATGTTGCACACCATCAGATTAAATCAACAGCCTTT